CTTCCTCCTCGTCCATGATCTTGCTGGTCGCCGAGATGCATCGATCTCAGCACAACTACCATCAGTCAGGCCCAGTCGTCTTGCTCCTAGCTGTGCCATTGACACCTGCGTGCGGGCATTCCGCAAGGAGGTGTTTACCCACTTAGACCAGTTCCAGTGGGTCTCATGAGTGCTGAATATATATTTTCCTCCTTTATGTCCTGGTCGGGGAGATCGCACTAACCTGGGCCGGGCTGCAGTTGGTGTTCCCCGAGCTCACCGACCCGGGAATGATACACGCGGTGGCAGGTCACAACATGCGCGTGCGCAGCATATCCGTCCTGTTCACATGGCTCTGGGGGTGGGAGGGGGATGGCAACAGGTGCATTCTAGCACGGCAACACTGGGTGGATAAGCCCTACCGGTTGCTGTTCCAGCAGTGCTTCGGTGAGGTGGCCCTGGCATTTGGGGTCGAGCAGGCCCGGGCTTGGCGGGCCAACCTGCGGTCGATCTTCATCCGCACCCACTGGCTCCTCCCATACCCCTCATCAACCAGCTTCTGGTCCCATGGTGGGCAGCGGCGCCTTCAGTGGTGGTCTAGCGTGCACCCCGGCGTGCAGCAGTACGTCCGGAAGAAGAAAAAGAAGCAGCAACCATCTCCAGATCCAGCCCCACTGCATATTGAGCCCTGGGAGGTCGTTCACCTCCCCCTGAGCGGCTGGGAGCGCTCCTCCTCTGTCATGCAGGGGATCGACATCAGGCTTCCAAGCACGCCGGACTCCATAGATGATTTCCTCACTGATGTGCCACTGGAGCCTACTGAGGAGCCCACCATGCGTGATGAACACATCCTGCTCCCAGTGATTGGGCAGAGTGTGAAGCTGATCTACAGCACGCTACCAGACATTGCACCAAGCTACCAGCTACGGTCCCACAGACGGGGAGAGCACCAAGGCACTCCACAGCATGATCCTGCATGGTGGAAGTCCCACCTCCAGTCCTATCTACAGAGGCTCATCCAGAGCAAGCATGATGCCATCCAGTCACTGAAGTTCGCCCAACGGTCCCGCCAGTGGCAGAGTGGTCCACAGCCAGTACAGAAGATAGCTAACACCGAGCCGGATTCCGATCCTGAGTCACTGAGCCAGCAGTATATCCAGGAGGTAAAGCAGCTCCAGGCTCTGAAGAAACAAGAGCGGAAGGTGTGGGAATATAACACCCGATATATGCATCATTGGCAGCATATGAAATCACTGCAGCAACAGTCTCAGAGCAGTGCCAGCAGTCGATGGTCTGCACAAGAATGGAAGAGCTTCCAGGAACAGTTTCAGTGGGCGCGGCATCGGGCACAGAAGTATGAGTATCAGCTGAGAAAGTCCACCCACAAGATCACTGAGCAGGTAGGATGACAGATTCAACGTGATGTGGTGAGAAACAAGCAGCAAATAAAGGTAGTGTTAAATCGTCAATTCAGATTAAACAGAAATAGAGATATTAAAACAGTTGTAAAAGGGAGATATATATATATTCATAACCCTATGAGATAATGTTTTCCTGTTCTTAATAGTCTGCATCTTATTTGATTTTAGTACTCCTCTGATGAATGTTATTAGGTCCCAAATAAATTTCATATTGTCTTTATTGATTGGTATTTTTCCTTCTTCTCTTCTTCCTCATCATTAATGTTCTATATAGCTCCAACTGGCCCCAGTTGAAACAAATACTTCAATTAGAGTTTTTACTTCTAGTAGTCTTTATTATACTACACCACCTGGGGAAGAACAATCTACAATGGAGCCTGCATATAGCAGGGCTTAACTGCAATACCTACCACATCCAGTGGTTAATGCTGCCATGAATGATAATTCAACCTACACTAATCTCTATCTATATAATTCTTATGATCCCTTCACCCTCCTCCTATCACCCCCCTGATAGTTGTCATCATTAATTGAATATGCTGAAATATCTGCTCTTGAATATACATCTGTGAGAAATTGAAATACTTTGCTTTATACAGCTTCAATAATCTGTTGTCAGAATTCATCTGCTTCTGTGTTATTCTTTCATTGATCTTTAAATGAGGGCTCTTGAATTTGAAATTGATTGATATGTATGTAAAGTTCATCTGAATATGTAGAATCTTCTATGATTGGTAGAGTTGGATTAATTGAAGCTTTTAATGGTTTC